CCCCGAGCCACACTCCCCTGTCAAAGTAAAAGCTGCTTCTGAAAGCACGTTGGCTCCTGAAGGTTTCCAGGCTGTCGTCCCTCAACCAGCTCTTAGCAGGGGGAGCAGAGCTCTCCATCCCAGCTCCCATCTCTTCTCCAGCCCCAGGCCAAAAGTTTCCCTCCAGGTCCAGACTGGGAGAATGACTTTTCAAGAGCCCATCCCCGTGCACCCGACGGCGGCATCCATAGGCACATTACTCAGCATCCTCTGCAGAAGGAATATATAGAAACTTCACCTTCCGAGTGACATTTAAACAACGCCCATTTTCCAAGCTGGGCTGCAGGCTGCCAAGCATCTGAAATCACAAAACGCGCCGCTGAAACCCAGCCAAGCCATCCCCTCGCTACACTCCTGCTCCTTCCTGCAGTCACCCAGGCTCCTCTGCAGCCACCGGCGGCGGCTGAACAGAGACCACAGGAGAGGTGCCCGGGACACCGAAGGGTGCACCCAGTCCAAGCTACAGCCCACATCTCCCGGGGAAAGAAGAGAGATAAAACCTTTCCTTGCTGCTGGGTTTTACCAGCCAATATTGGCTAATTAAGCAGCTGTGCCATGCTGTGCTAAGCTGTGCTGCTTAATTAGCATTAAAGGCATCTTTAGCAAGGGCCTAGAGGAAGCATTTTTTAGATCAGGTGGTAGTTTTGGAGTTGTTCATTGTTTGTTTTTTTTTACCGGAGATTACACAGTTCAGGAAGGATGGTGTAATGCTGAATGGCTTCAAGGCGATGGAGGCAGTGCTGTATCCTCCCACGTAGGTGGTACCCAGCGAAGAGAGAAGGAAGCGCGAGTTTTACTTTAAACACACGCCTATTGGTAGAGCCTCCGCTTACTCGCTTGTAGGGTTTTTTTGCAGAAGTATATCTGAATTGGAGAAGCAGAAATCCTTCCAGCCTGATACTGAATTTCTTTAATGAAGTAAGCGTATAAGAAAATGAAAAATGTTTCTAAAGCCACTTAAAGTTACTAAGAGCAACTGCATACTCTGAGACAAAGTGAAGGATTTCCTGCAGTGTGCAAGGCCACACAGACCAGGATTACTATTGTTTCACTGCTGACCCTGTAATTTAAAAATTCAAAGAATAACTCAGAAATACAAAATCTTCCCCAGACCTGTAAGACATATTCAGTATGAGATGTAATTAAAAAAAAACATCTTAAGTACACTTAAAATTTGACACATCACATTTTTTGCTTATAAGTACCCAAAACAGAATTGAGTAAGAATCTTTGGAGTGCTTTACTGTAGATGGTACAAAACACAACCAACTTACTTTTAAAATAAATCTTGGAACTATTTTAATATTTTTAAAATTGTATTTGATTACAAAGTCCCATATTAATATTCTGTATCTACTAAAGGACATGAAGAAGAATTTTGAATACTTTCAGTTACAGGAAGATTGAAAAGGGACCACAATGAAATGTTTGCAACAGAGTATTTCTATAGTACTACCCAAATACATAGGCAAAAGAGATTCCATCCACATCATTTGATTCAATGCGTTTTGAGCAAAATTTGCCTTACTTATTTTGCATTTCTCTACCATTTTATTATTCTGGTTTTTAGTACCTAAATGTTTTCTTTTAAATAAATCCCTACCACTTAGCTAGTTTGAGGGTGAATTTTAAATTATTTTTCTAAAGCAATTATTATTTTACATATTGGCTGGATAAGAACAGTATGTCACTTTGTGGTAAAACATACAGAAGTTCACACTTGAGGTTGACCACTGGTTTTCACACCTACTGCGTAATTTTAATACTTTTTTTTTTTTCCAAGTGGAATTTGGATCCTCACATTTTTTTGCACTTTGTCCATAAAACCAAGGGATCTGCAGCTCAGCCTGGCTCCAGCTCCAGCCCCACTGTGTCCCATGCTGCGGGCAGCTGGCCCCAGAGCCCCATGAGAACCTGCCAGCGAGCACAACTGCTCTCAGCTTGCAGGTGTTAATAGTCCGGTGTCTCCAAAAATCAGGCTGGGAGTTCAGAGCAGCTGATGTAACCTGGAGTGAGGCTGAAGCAGCGGAGGCCTCTCCAGGCATTTGTGTCATTCTCAGCTGGGTGATCATTTCATGATATACAACAGCCAAGGCTGCTGCAGCTCCTCGCTGCCCACTGTGACCTCCCTGAGAATATTCAGCAGCTGCCAGGGCAGAGGCTGAAACCCAAAAATCAAACGTTCTCTCAGCCGAGCACTCAGGCTGGCGTGCTGCTGTCTTGGCAGGAGCTGTGCGAGGTGTTCCTGTTCCGGCATCCCATCCCCATGCTGGAAAAGCTGGATGGCCCCAAAACACCAACAGCGAGGAAGGACATCTCCGCTTGCCCTGCAAGGCACTCTGCCCATGAAAAACACGTACCTGAAGAGCTGAGAAATCTTACTGGCTGCATAAATCTCGCTTATTTGACTTTCCCCCATTTCCAACAAAAGCTGAACTGTTGGACCCGACAACTGGCCGCTGATTTATGTTGCATGTGCTGCAGATGGCTCAGCTGTGGCACACAGCGCAAATGCAGCTGCTGGGTGGGTTTTTTTTCCCCTTGCATTTCCAACGCTAGGAAGCGACATGTGGCTATCTTTGGACAGCTTTTGAGTCAGAGTCTGGCCCTGCCTCTGTCTGTCTTCAGGCTCTTTGCCAATGAATGGGACACAGCACATGCCATGAAGTAGCAGCAGCTACGGGGAGCGGTGCAGCTGCCCTGTGGGCGCAGAGGGACAACACTCCCCAGGTTTTACAACTAGTGCAGCGTTACGTGATGAAACAGTGCTGAGGGAGTGCCACAGTCCTGGGAAATCCTCCCAAGCCTTGAGTCATGGTTACACATGTGTGATAAAAAGCCTTCATCTAATGTTAGCTGAGTAAGTCTTGAAGCTCTCACTGAAAAGCATCCTCAAACCTTCATCTAATCCATCTTCCTATCCCAAAGCATGATCACCATTCCTTTGCATGATAAACACTTAAGCAAAGCATTTCTGATCTGCTCTTAAAAGCCTCCAGTGATTAAGACTCCTTAAGTGTCAGGCCGTGACCTCCACTGCCTTACAATGACCTTGTTGTTAAATCATTCCATGATGCCTACCCAGCTATGTTCTGATGCCTTTCAAGACTATGACTTCTTTCCCCTTCGGCAACAGGAAAGATCAGATTATGCTCTTGATTTTTCCAGATTCAAACACTTCTTCCAGTGGTTTTTTTGGTAAGCAGCAGCTGTACCTGTAGTCATCCCTGCACTAGATTTCACATCAGTTACCTCTGAGGTAATTTTGCCTCAGCCAGTTTAACCCATGTGTACAAAAGATGGCTTGTCCACTTGCTTTTGCCATTTCAATTTCTAGCCTAGAAGGAATTGAAGATAAATAGCCATGAAACTAAGGCAACTAACCCTTTCCTAACATCTTGATTTAAAGACCTGAAACTAAACAGCAACTCCCTGTGGCGTATGGAAGATGAGGCCAAAGATTCTCACAAGCAGTGTTACTCTGCACATCCTTTGATTCTTCCCTGTCAAGGTGAAAGAAACGAGGTGAAGAAGGTCACAGGGTGAGGTGGTGGTGGCTCTTTATTGACACCAGTGTCATTCTGAGCTTGCAGCTTCTTTGAAGGCAGAGCTATGCCCTAAGCATAATCAGATAGAGATCTCATGATCCTATGGCTTCAAGGGAGGACATGGAGCAACAGAAAGGATCTCTCTTCCTGCAGATCAGCGAAATCAATTTCTGCAGTGAAGTAACAGCTCCTGGGAACAGGCACACCACACTAAATCATTACCATAATCTTTTGCAACTCTAACTGCAAACAGATGTAGCTACAAATTGTCCCCGAGAGCGCCACTGCTCTTTGTCTGAACACTACCCAGTACAAACACACCCTAGTCCATGTGTGATGTCCTTACGTGCTGCCACTATTTCTAGATTTTGATTTTTCACCGTCTACAGGAGATTTTAAGATTTTTTGGCTTTAGTACAAGACAGCTTTTAAAAGCTGGACTGTTTAAGGCTGCTGTGGTGGTGTCATGGAAATAAGAGAAATACTGTGAGGACCCTTTTGGAAGATGACATTTGAGGTAGAATTGGAAAGGACAATCTAGCTTCAAAATGATCATATCCTACAGTGGTTCTGCATAAATACCGATGTATTTTCAGACCTAGAAAGGGCTTATTACAAATCCTGTTTTTGTTTTTAAAGCTATCACTTTACAATCCATAAAGCTATTTAGCTATTTATCTACTTATCTACTTTCATTTGCTTGGCTCTATTTATAAAGCAAAGAGAAACAAGTAGTCAACAATAGACTGCTATCTCTCAAAGCCTCAAACATGGGCAAACCTTGCAGGTTAGTGCCATGGGTTTCCATTTTCTCAGATGATAACGAAACAACAGAACTTTACAAGGTTGTTGCTGTTATGCCTCATCTCAGCTCCTACCTGTAAGCAGCAGTTTGCCATTGAAGCCAGTACTATGACCCATGTAAAACAAGTCAGAGCTCAACCTGTTTCCATGAAAGCAGGCAGCAATCCTACACACAAGGAAACCTCCTTTGTGGGCTCAGATGCTGCACAATCTAGCAAGGGAAAAAACGCAATCCAGAGCCCAGACAGGGAAAAGACGAAAATCAGACTCCCTGATCAGTTCAATTCTAAGTGGTAATGATCAAGCAGATACTGCCCCTGGTGAAGGTGCCATCTGGAGGCCAGTCACTGGTGTGCATCACATACAGAAAAATAACTGCTAAAGAAAACAGTAATTTTGGGTGTTATTTTATGAAAAATAGGGTGATTTTTACAAGTGCAAGGCTATGTGAACCCCTAAGAATGAGCGTGCTTGCTGGAAGGTCACAAGTATGCCATCCAACAGCAAAAAGAGTAAGACAGAAAGCTGCAGAAGTACAGTAAGAAGTCCAAAATGTTTTGTTAGTGCAAACAGACAACAGAAAGCAAATCTTCTTCCACTCAGGCTGCTTCAGGTGAATTGGAATTTGCTGGCCTTTGGCATCTCAAGAGTCAGCATGTCAATCTGCTTTGAGAACTCTGCCTCCACGGCGTTCTAGCAGGAGAGAAAACCAAGAGGAATCAGCAACCATGAAACAGTTTTCTTACATTCTTGTTAAACAAACATATCTGCAACGATAAAACCTTGGGATATTATTGGCACTGATTCAACCCAAGTATTGAACAGAAAGGTCGCCCTACTGCAAATGGCAGAAATCTCCAAATGAAGGGCTAGACAAGCTCAGTGCCCTTTATACTGCGCCCCAATGTGATACTAGACACCTTCAGGCTGAAGAGGTACACTCCAGAGGTGAGTATTCTGACCTGATAAAAGCCTCCGGCTGCTAAGGTGAGCTTGTATTTCTGAATCAAAACCAAGTGGCTTAACAACCCTAGCAGTCCCGTCTGAAAATGCACAAAATACTCTCAAATAGCTAGAATTTTTGATCACAGATTTAAGACTTATCACTGAATACCTTGTGCTTTATCCATGAGCAAGCAGACAGTCGCCCAAAGAAATAAAGGCAGGTTTTATGTTCAAATGTGACCCAGCTCACTCAAGAAAGCTACATATGAACTTCCCAAACAGCTTGATATGGATGTTTCCAAACAACCATACCTGCAGATTACACAAGCATGGATGAAATAGAGATTATGTTTTATAGGAGAAGGTCCCCGTTGTTGTCTACAAGGCAGCTGTTAAATAAAATATGGGCCCTAGAGCCCTCTCAGAGTTCATAAGCAGCAAGGAAGGTTGTGAGACAACGCAGCTGAGTGAATAAACATTGACCGATGAAGGAGACACAATCCAGAGGGATAGAGATACCTAATCCCCACTGACACCATTACGCCCAACTGCCTTTGTAGCTTAGAGATCATTCCTCCACCAGTTCCTCCTACCAACATGCACGGCTTCTCCCTTACTAGAGCAAAATTTCCCCCTAGAGATCATTAAGACTACAATAAGAGGTAGATAAATCCACAACCAATTAATATACATAGCTTATTTTGGAAGACAGCACTCATTTAAATCTCTGTGAAAGATAAAAAACTCTTACCAGTTCTCGTTTTACTTCTTCAATCTTCACTTGAGCAAGGGAAGGATTCTACAGAGAGAAAATGGCATAAAAATCAATATTTCAGCTGGAAACACAGAGCCCCTGCATCACTGCAAGAGTCTAATGATGTGCTGCAAGGGAATTCAAGGATAACAAAATCAGTTTTGTGTACACCCTTCATGTGCAAAAGGTACTGACACTAAAAGCCTATTATCAGTTTGGTTTGGGCAACCACATATTTTTCAAAAGTCTGGTATGGCCTAAAGTCTAAAAAAAAACCCCATTTCTAGCAATTTTCCAAAACTAGCAATCAAGGAACTGGATTTTAAACACATCCGTGCATTAATTTTCCAAATCCCAATACGCTTGCAAGTAGAAACCTTCCTCCCTCCTTCTGCCTGCAACAGAAGAGAGGCATTGGGGCTCTCCCTGTCTCCACTGATGGCAAGATAGGAGGGAGGGGGAAATTGGAGAACCTCATCCAATTTGAATGTCCTGTTTCACCTGAGGAAAGAGGCAGCGGCCTCTTGGAGCAAGATGGATTTAAAAAGCAGTCCCACCCTCTCCCTTCATCCTTTTCTTCTAGGAGGCAGAGAGCAGTAGTTTTATGAGGGAGATGTGTTGAGAGGCAGGAACTCAGTGGAGGGGCTAAGGAGGTGAAGAGAGAAATGTGGCCCAGCGGACAGGTTCCTAGTTGATAATACAAGAGATGCTATTAATCGCAGAGTTTTTAGGTGATTTTGGACAAGTCTCTTTGTTTGTCTGGACTTTTGTGCCCCATTTATAAGAACAGGAATAAATCTTTTTCACCTCTTACACAGAAAGGTCTGAGGCTAGCTCTTTTAAAGGCTGTGGGGTGCACAGATGAGGAGGTAACAGGGGCCATATCAGGTAACTCAAATACAAAACTGGAAACTGGACAGTTACAACTGTATTTAATAAAACCAAAACCCATTCAACTATTCACATTCCAGTTTTTCCTACTTCTCCTCTGAATGACAAAGAGAAAAGTCCTTAATACTTATCTGTAAAGCAATGTCAATCTTCCAAAGAGAACTGGAAATACTTGGGTTTAGTAGTCCCAAATATCACAGGTGATGATGTACAGACATCACACAAAGCTTTCTGTTTCATGTACTAAGGCCCTGTTTAGCCATGACTTTAAGCCACTATAATGTTGTTCACAAAATTACCCTTAATTGCAACAGTCCTTTGTAACGAGCGTTCTAATTTGAAAAGTGTAAAGTTCTTTTTATAAAGGATGTTCCACACAGCAGTCTGATAGTAACTCCTAGCACAGGGACCAATAGTGACAATAGCCAAAATACAAAATGAAGAACAGATACACAGACAGGGGCTTTCAAAACTGCAATTTAGTCACCTAAAGGAGAAACCTGCGATTTCAGAGCTGAGTACCCAGCACCCTCAAAAGAAATCATTGAAAATGATGGAGCAGCCAGTACTCACACAAGCTAGAGTATTTGTTTAGGGGACAATGCCTACATTTGGCTATTTCTTCATAATTGTTAAAATCTTGCTCAGAGCTCCAACCTCTGCTCGATGTGCTGCGTCTACCATATTGACAGCCTAATGACATGTTTAGCTAATATACTGGTAAATAAAAAAAAAAGTTACCCTAAGAAATTATGTTTTCTTCTACATTTCTTTGTCTAATTTCTAGCCAATTCACCATGATATTGAGCTCACCTAGCAAATCTGTGCATTTTTTTGAACAAAGTCTGGCTGGTAAGCATACTTAATTTCTTGGCTTTGGTTAATAAGCAGATAGCCTTCTGTTTAAGTAAAGTCTTCTGTTTATACCATTAGTAGACCTGTAACCACTGAAACCGTCATAACAGTATCCTTTACATTCTGAAGTGCATTAAAATTAATTTGATGGCAAATACAATAGAAGAGTGGAAAAATAATTACAGGAGTTAAATCTAGGTAGTAATCCAGTTTCTCCTTCAAATGCACAGTTTCTTGCTGCAGTGTCGCCAGTTCCTGTGAAGAGAGCAAGGCAGATTATATTCTATATTCTTACTTGTAGAACTGATGTAAATTGGTGAAATAGATCGACAATTACCTACAGCACTCCAGAATTTACAGATGTTGGTGAGAGTTGTCACGATCCTTCATAAAACCCAGGGAAAACTAAAGATCTGCTATTAATTCAGTTATCAGTCAGTCAAATCCAGGTCAAATTTTACACAGAGGTACCAATGAATTTTTCTTTGCTCTAAAGACATCTTCAGATACCTTTTCTTACAGTATAACCACCTGATCTCAACTCCCTGAAAGGAGAGGAGATTTCAAATGAGAATCCACCAGAGGACTTTTGCTGTCAACCTCATTGTAGGCCAGAAAGAGAACTGAGCCCCAAGGAAGGGGATGCATTCTCATGCCTAAGGCATCTGTGTGAAAACAGTTTTGCACAGGCAGCAGCAAAGACTCCCCTTACACTTGCACTGCTTTGCTCATTTGTTAACAAGGGGAAATAATTTCTCTTTGGGGCTGAAATTTGAGCCCACAGTCCTCAACTCTTTCCAAATGATCAAGTAAAAGGAAAAAAAAAAAAGCACTCTGAAGACAAAGTCATTTGTGCTGCCCAATTCACTGAGCTCTTGGCAAAGCAGAGAGAGAAATGTCAGGGAGTCAAACCTGCCCTTATGCTCAGGCTCTAGAAGATGACAAGTCTAGAAAATTGCCTATGACTTTTTGTATGTAAAATGCCAACAGAGATTATTTCGGGTTAGTACTCTTTTGAAACACTGTGCAATGTACATGTTGCCACCCAGTGCTGGTTCACGAGAATGACAACATGAAAATCAGGAAACCTATTTTCATTGTTCAACTTAACTAACATGCAGGAAAAGCTAGCAAAAGAAATGGGGAGAAGGACTAAGTTCTCATTACAGTAACAGCAAATAATATTAAAGGGTGGTATTTGTGTTGTTCTGTCTGCACTAACACGTTACATGTGTACAAATGCTTCAGCACAAAGCTGGAAAATCTATAGCTAGTAACTATAGCTTGTAAGAAATGAACTTTTTCCTTTAACAAATAAATTATCCTGCTGGGCTTACAATACAGTGGGGAAATGTTATATTTAAAGACAAAAGAAAAAAAAGACACAATGGTTCAGAATTTAGGTTTCACTTGACCTCCTCCCCTTGCTCTAAAGTGTTCGAAAGCAGGTTTATTTCACACAAACTAGAAAGAATCACCTGGATCATTCATTAATTTCAATGCACAGGTAGCCATGTAACAGGATATAGTCCACAGAATATCCACTCTGTTTATGACATGGACCACAGAGAGAGGAGGCAGATCATGGGCTGCCAATTTTCTTTTGGTGGCAGAGGATTTATTCCATGGAAATTCTCTACTAGGGTGTATTTCTAATTACAGACAGAGGCAGAAAGAGAGAAAGAAACAAAAGGCAACAAAAATAAAGATTCCAACTGTTACCCTCAATCAGTCCAGAAGGAAAGCTTCTTCCTAAGTCCAAAATAAGCCCACATCGAACCCTGAAGAAAAGGTACCACTTCAGCACCCGTAGATACCTCTCCATTTCTAGGAGAGGCAAACTCATGCAACATATCCCAGTTCAAAGGTATCCTTCTACAGGATTTTTATTTGTGCTTCTTTTTATGATTAGTATTTGTTCAGGTAACCAAGTGGCAAACTACATTTCCTGAAACCATCCAACAAAGTGGTCTGTACCACTGCAGAAACATCCATCTTGGATCAAAAGACCTACCTCAGACAGGCTGACGAGTGACTCGTGTGTCAGCGACTGGTCCCACCCCGCAGCAGCAAGCTGCTCCTACAAATAGGAAAGAGCTCGTTCATAACTGAACATAAATATAACACAAAAATATAACAGGGAGAAGAAAGATTTTGTCATTTCCTTGAGTTTTGATCTAAACAGCCAAACAAGAACGCCGTTTGTCAACAACAGAAACGTGTGTCACTAACCACAGCTATAGCTGGTATATGAAATCAGTTGCTACTAAAATTTATATCAAGAATAACAAGTCTTTTCAGGAAACTAGTAGGGGAAGAGCATATGGCAAGGCTGGGAACATGCTTCTCAGTAAAATGTCATCAACTCTAATACCACATTTTCCACCTCATATTTGTCAAGGTATTTAATACTTGAATGCTGTCCAATAAAGCATTCACATGTCCATCACGTCGAAAAGGTGAGGGAGAAGACAGTACAACTTCTGCTCCTGGTGTTTAATCATCCATTAATTTAAACAAATGACTATTTTCAGAATTTTGACACACAATTTACCTTGGTGAATCAGCTGCTCTACTGGTAGCTGTCTGTATACTCTTATATGACAGTACCTCACAACAAGCACAATGTAGTCTGAGTTAATACAGTTCTCAGTGGAAGAAGAGAAAGTGTCCTTTTGTTTATCATAGGATATCCTGGGGAGAGACCGTGAATATAGCAGGAACAACTGAAGTGTAGTAACATGTTGTCCTGTTAGCCCGAGTCCTCAGTCTGGGACTTTAAGAAGCTCCTGGGATGTCTCTGTTACTACAGTTTTGGGCCCAACCAACCATGACTGTGCCATCCCATCACAACGCCTTGTTAGAAAATTCCTTCCATCTACCTCAGAAGCCTGGATCTTCATTTTCAAATGCTCAGATTTTTGTCTCAGGAACTTCAAGTTCTGGGATCGGCTGTCAGCTTTGGCGTTTTCTAATTCCACAAGTTCCTCTGCCTTTTTAAGGTCCCTTAAAAAATACAAAAGAAACAAAACTTACACATTCAAAGAGATACCAGTGTACAAATACTGCTTAATTACCTATGCTTAAGCTAAACCCCATAATACAACCAACACCAGAATGGAGGGAATGGAGAAAAACTTGCATTTCCCTGTGAGATTTCCCAGTGGAAACATCCACAGCTGTTACATCCAGACTCCCAAAGGCTGGGGCAGTGTCAGGGCAGGGGGGGAGGCCAAGGGGAAATCCATCTGCATAAAAGCACAGAGGAAGAGTCTTCTGCATAACTCCCTAATTCATTTAGCAACCTGTTATGCAAGCTAAACTTGAGACCACAGAGAGAGTCCATGGCAAACCTGCACAAAGCGCACAGGTCTGGTATCTCTGCTACAAGCAGCATCACAGTTACAACTTTAAAAAACAAAACAGAAAATTAGACTGGAACAGGGCTGTGGAGATCATCTGTGCCAATACCCACTCAAGGCAGGGGCTGATCCTGCTGTGCTTGGCAAAGCACTTCAGATTACACCCTCTCAGGAATGGACTTGATACCGATTGTTTTTTTGTTGTTTTTTTTTTTAAGTCTCCCACACACTGGTTAAAGGAAGTTCTTACCTGGGAACGGTTTTTGTTTTGCCTAGCTCCTTCACTCTGACTACAGAACCCACACTAGATGTGCTAAGAAAATCATGTTTGCCTTCAACGTCAGGTGAAGGCAACTGGTGGAAGATGCTAGCCCATATCTGAAAAGTGCTTGTAGACTGTTTTTCATTTAAAAGAACAGATATGATGACAGTACCCCAAATGTCTTTTGATTATTGCATGTGTCCATAGCACATGGTTTTTGATAGATACTTCCAAATATTTGAGTTAGAGATGCGTCAAAACTCTGACATTCAGTCATCCTTGTTAGTTATCACAACCAATGTTCCACATTGCAGAGGCAAGATGTATTGCTTACATCTTTCCCTTTTCTCATCCATTACTCACTCCTCTAACTGCTTTTCCAGCATCAGCGCTGCAGTTCTTTGTTTCCTGATGTTGCTCAATTCCAGTTCCATTTCCCTGTTTTCTGATTCTGTTGCATACAGCTCTGAAGTCATATCGTTGATGGCATAGAAGAAGCTGGTGAAGAGAGAGATTCAGTGGGAATGCTCAGGAGTCAGCTGTTCTGAAACTCAGAACTATTATTTTTTCCACACTTTACACAAATGACTTTGTTTTGTTCTCATATTATGACAGGAGGAAATTAAAATAAGTCGCTAAGGGTATTTGCTTCCCCTAACTACCAAAGATTTCATCTGGAAGGGGAAATGGCACAGCAATCTCAGTAGGAGGAAGTGAACAACACCTGGCACTCTAGTGAATATAACCACTGGGTTTGAAATCATCATATGCTCCACTCCTGGCTTGCTGAATTGCCTTTGAGAAAAACTGTATTCAGTTCCTGAAAATGCATGTCTCTGAGGCATGCCCAGCAGTATTTCAGTCTCTTTCTCTTCCCAAACGATTCAAAGCTGCTTGCCCCTCCATCTCAAGAGAAGAGCTGTAAAAGCCAAGCTCCTGAACATCATACGAAAATTGGATTCCAAGGCAGATTTTGCCCTTCCTTAGTGCCAGTGCTCAGCACAGATCTGATGTGTTACGGGTCAAAGCCAGGCTAGGGAAAGGGGCGCAGGAAGAGCAGGCTAACAGCTGCGATTTCTCTGTGGCCGAGTGTCGCAGTTTGGGCCAGACTGGTCACTCAAGCAGAATGACAGAAGCTCTGCTCTACCTTTCTTCAGAGAGAGGCAGGAGAGAGAGAGAGAATTATGAGTTTAGGAGAAACTAAACTATTTCATTAATAATAAAATAAAAGGAAATTATGAAATATATACAAAACTGTATCAAGCTCTGAGGATGACGATCATGTCACTGACAGGCACTTGGGAAGTTCCAGACTGGACTCAGTGACGGATGGGAACTGGATTCCAGATCTGGATTTAGGATCAGGATCAAAGGCAGATGAACATAGACCTCCTTGGACGTTGGCCATTGAACAAAAAGCTGACCCTTTGATCCCGCAGTTTTTATACTGAGCATGATGCAGATGGGATGGAATACCCTGTTGGTCAGTTTGGGGTCACCTGTCCTGTCCGCTCCTCCCTGCAGGTGGGACCCCTCTACGCTTTTCTGCTTCTGACCCTCCAACGGGGCAAGTAACAAAGTGAGCTGACCTGGGTTGTTATAGCAATAAGTATAAGCAAGAGCCTCTCTGCATACCATGCCTGGGCATCAACTATGAACATAGGTCTGTTATCACTGTAAGAGCAAACAGTTTCTGCACAATATGCTGTTAATTTCAGTAGTTAGAAGAGGCTCAGCTAAAAAGTAAAGTTCCTGAATAAACAGTAGTCCTGTTTTACCTCAAACCAGGATACTGAGCTAAGGGAATCTCCTTAGATTAACTGAGGGCAGGTAAGAGAGGGAAGAGTGAGGAGCTGAGACTGAAAGACCAGTAGTTCCCCAGTCCTTGCCAAAGCAGTATGAAACCTGCTCTAGCTCGTGCTACCTGGCACAAGTTTGAGTCACAGCATCCTGCAGCCACTGATCATGAAAACAGGGGCAAAAGAGAAGGATTTAACTCTGGCCAAAGCACTTCTCAGGCTTCAGAGACTTCCTTGGCTGGGATAATCAAGAGCTAGAGCTTTGTGCTCAGTTCCTATGTACTCCAAAGCTGCCCAAGGGGTGCAAAATAAACTGGACAAGTAAGATTCCTGGTGTGAAAGTCAAGTTTGAAATTGTTGAATTGAAAAAACAGAGGGAAACAGCACAGACCATCACCCCTGATGCACAGTGGGAAAAATTACCTGGCAAGAGAAGTATCCTTTGTTTCAAGTATCACTGCGCTGTTTACCAGGACATTGAGGTAGCTGGTGCCTTCGCTGGACAGACTGGATGGGGAAAGATCCAGGCTTTCTCTCAGAATATCCTGTATATAATTAGCTGGAAAACAAATACAACCCAAAATAGTAATTATTTTTTTTTTAATATTACTGTTCTTTTAAGGCCTAGAGGGGATTCTCTCTTTTAACACGTGTTAAAAATATATTATGGTCCCCTGAACCACTCGCTCCAAAAAACCCACATTATCAAACACTTGCTCTGGACAGCTCAAGCATAACTTAATCAACTCACTGTTGTTTCAGATTCCTCAAGCGCTTTCCTTAATGTGGATTAGCACCAGCTCAGACTCTTAAATCAGCTGTAGGGTTGCTTCCCTGCCTACCCAGCCAATATTTCAATGCCATGCTAGGCAGCCCAACAGGCTAGAAGGTTTTAGCAATTAATCTGCTTGTCCGTATTTACAGACTGCTCAAGACAGCTTAAAAAAATTGTCCTTGATCAACCTTACGTCACTGTAAATTTTGCTGAAAGGATGGCAGGGGATGCACTGTAGTAAAAGCTGTACCAGAACAAAAGTGGAGTTCATTCCAATAATATATATGTATTTATTTATATATATATATACATGTTTGTTTGCAAGATTTTAACAGAGACAATCTTCAGAGTCACCAAGAAAAACTAACTTTGATGGAACTGGAATGTGGAGCTTCAAACTCACCTTCTGCTTCATATTCTGCTGCCTTCTGCTTTGTGTCCTCTATCAGCAAAGAAACATCCCTGGCTCTGGCTTCAGTGCATTCTGCAAGGTCATATAAGATATCAATTGTCCTTGCACTCACTTTGTACTCTGGAATAGGCTCATTCCCATATATTTTCTTTCCAAGAAAAGAGAAGAAGGAAAAAAAGAAGGGGGGGGAAAAAAAAAAAAAAAAAGAGTAAATAGGCTAGTGTAACAACAGAAAATAGCTGATAAATGTGAGAAACAAAGTGCTGCAAGCTCTACATTCCTGAAGCATAACTCCTACTACACCAGTAAAGGCATGGGTAGAAAAAGGGGAGAGAGCTTCCTTTGTATTTTCTTCAAACACGTCTGTAGTTTAGAAAACAATTTCACTTTTAATCTCCCTTACTTCTCTGGACACCTGCTTATGTCCAGGTGATAAAATTTTATCTTTTTATTCATATGACCTGTTTGCTACAGACACACTAATCGTCCAAGAGATGTCAGATGGGTATGTGGGAAGCTGGTGAAAACTGCATTAAAGCAGCATGGGATAAAACTGCCCAAACCACGATCATGGGGAACAGTCTCTATGGGCTAGTGGGGGAAAAAGAGTTATGACAGCATGCCGGCGTGAACATTTGGCAGAGCACAATTTCTGCCACTGAAAAGGTCACAAATGGGATACAGATCAACGCAGTGCTCTCAGGTCACTGAAAGATTAAATCGTGACTGATAATAATGGAACACGTGGAAGTTCAACCCTGAGGAAACATGAATCCTTGTCTAAAGGTATCTAAGCCACCTGATGGAAAAGGACCCAGCCTCATAACTGTAAAAGGTATTTCTTTCTAGAATGTCCTTTTTTATGCTACTACCATACCAGCATCTCAGTTACATACACTGCACACACCAACCACCACCCTGAACTACGCTGGGGAGAAAATCATCAAGGCCTTGGAGGCAAACGGCACTAATTACGTCTAGATGAAAACTCTAATACGGCAAAAACGCCAAGTTCACGATCGAAGGATGAATTGAATCTTTCTGCCACTTTCTGTAAGGACAATGATTTGAACCGCAAAAACTTCAACCGCCCAAGATCTCCACAACCTAGCATTTGAAACCAGCTGCGAGCTTATACTTAAAGGTCAGTGACCTCAGGCTGTCACCTAGTAGAGAGCAGAGGGTGAAGTGGGTGAAGACAGACTTCACTGCAGCAGAACCCACCCAGCCACCACAAATAAATAATAATAATTAATCAATCAGTTCAATTCACGAGTTGCAGTGAACGCTTTTACCAAAGTGGATTTAAATAATAACAATAAATAATAATAATTAATCAATCAGTTCAATTCACGAGTTGCAGTGAACGCTTTTACCAAAGTGGATTTAAATAATAACAATAAATAATAATAATTAATCAATCAGTTCAATTCACGAGTTGCAGTGAACGCTTTTACCAAAGTGGATTTAAATAATAACAATAAATAATAATAATTAATCAATCAGTTCAATTCACGAGTTGCAGTGAACGCTTTTACCAAAGTGGATTTAAATAATAACAATAAATAATAATAATTAATCAATCAGTTCAATTCACGAGTTGCAGTGAACGCTTTTACCAAAGTGGATTTAAATAATAACAATAAATAATAATAATTAATCAATCAGTTCAATTCACGAGTTGCAGTGAACGCTTTTACCAAAGTGGATTTAAATAATAACAATAAATAATAATAATTAATCAATCAGTTCAATTCACTAGTTGCAGCGAACGCTTTTACCAAAGTGGATTTAAATTCTGTAAATGTCTTGAAAGAACCTGCTTTTCCCCTACACCCAATACTTTTAAGAAAATAGCTTTAAACTGGTAAAATAATTTGAGGAGACTTTTTTTTTTTTTAATGGAACTGTTTCATGTATTTCATAACGCAAATTGCAAATAAAGGTATATAAATGCTTAATCAAAAAGTCACAAATAATATTTTCAGCGATAAAAACAAATCTGAATAGGCTGTGTATTATTGCTTACATACATTAATGTAAAAAAATGTACTCCTTGTTGGAAAATACACCATAAAAATACATCTGCTGAGTCAAAAATCTTAGAATAATTGCCAAAGAGTCACCTTTCTTTTGTAACATAACGAAAGTACAAAGGCACAAGATCTTCAAGGTCCTTTCCAACCCAAACCATTCTATGATTCTATGATTTAAATCAACATGCTGGGGGTTTCTTCAGGCAGTTCTATAGAATTTGAAGTCAAATACTCAGCATGAGAAACGTCACTGAAGCACCACCTTGGACACAACGCACGCCAAAAACGCTTGGGACTTTCCACTTAACCTTTCCAACTGAAAGGCCTGCTGAGCTGTGCTTTACTGACCTCTCGGGACACCCCCACACTGTCCCTGCCCCAGTGTGTGCAGTTTCTCCCCGGCA